AGTTCATATTTTTGTTTTTTTTTTTTTTTTTTACTTATTGTATCTAACAAGCAAGGCAAACAAGGATTGATTGTCCTGGTTACAAATTGCATAAAAGCTTCAAGGCAAAACAAATGGACCCATGTCAATGCAAATCAGTGTACCTAATCAGAGTGGCTTATTTGGTAATCATTTCGTTTTTAATTTTTAATTTATATTTACAAAAATTTTAAAAACTGTCATAAAAAATTGTTTTATAATTGTTTTTAATTTATAAATGATTGTCTCAGTTTATAAATTTGAAGAAAAAACATAAACTCAAAAAACGAGTTTACGTTAGTTTTTAAACATAAATTTAAAATTTTGGCTAACAATTTTTTTTTCAATTAATTGATTTTTCAAATAATTTTTTTTCAATTAATTATTTTTTTTAATTAATTTTTTTTCAATTATAATGCGTATGATTTCATTGTCATAAATAATAAAAAAAATAAATATAAACAAATATATTTTTTAGTTTATGTTTTTAAAATTTTTCAAACATTTTTTTCAAACTAAACGCGTTTATAATTTATGTTTTTTTAAAAATAAACAAAAATCAAATTATAAAATTTTTGTAAACATAAATCAAAAACATAACTATTACCAAACGCTATCAATATAAATGGATGTTTCAGTCAATTAACTATGAAAATTGGCAAGGGTTCGTGTAGTAATTATGTGTTGGATTTCTATATATATGTTTTATATACTAGTAGTTTGTACATGAACTAGTGGCTCACTTTTTTTAAGTAACGGAGGTTCATATTCAAAAGTAAAGATATTTATTATTTTGTAATATATTAGTTGTGTCAAAAATAATGGTAACAAAGTAAAGAGATGACTTGAGATAATGACAGTTGTATTATTATGTAATAAAGTGATGACTTGAAATAAATACAGATCTAATCTCATGAAATAGGACATGAGAATTCGATCAATCAAGGGGTGTCTAATTAATTCAACTTAAATTACATTTGTTTTAACTTACGAAATGTGTTTCAATATCTACCTTTCTTTAGTTTGGGGAAAAGAAATGTGTTTTGTTTTGTACCATCTATTTTTTAGGACACATTTCTTGACTAAATGGCCATCTTTTTTGCAGCCTTCCTCCCAATTTGTACTGTACTTCACCCCCAAACAATAATATGTCCATGCATCCAATTTAGACCATTCATTACCATTTATTGTAAAAGTTAAATTATACGGACACTCTTCGAAATTTGGTCCAATTATGTCTCTTTTTAACATTTTAAAAATTATATTTTTATGCTTATAATTAATAGTCTCATTTCATAAATTTCACATTTATATAAAAAGTATCAACTTCTAATAGAAAAATAAATAAAATTATATTTAAAAAAAAAAAGTAAAGCAAAGGAAAAGAAAGAAAAAATAAATAAATAAAAATAAAAGAAGTAAAATAAATCAAGAAAAGAGAAAGTACAAAAGTTCAATATTTTTATTTCATCTAAATAATTACAATAACAAAAGTTTAGTGTAATTTTCCAAACGTCATAAGGTGATATATATTAAACTTAAACTTCAAAAAGTGTAAGTATAATTTACCTACATTAAGATATATTTGAAACACAAAACAACCTAATTCTACTTCTAACACAACAACTTCACAATTTTAAAATATTAAAAAAATAATAGACGTTCCTAATTTTACTGCGAACAACAGTTTTTTTTTTTTTTCCTTTTTTTCTTTTTTTTCTTTTCGCAGTTGAGCAATGTTAATCGTCACTAGGGATGTAATCAATTCGGAATGATCGGTATTTATGTGAAATTTTACTTCAAATTGATAATGTCAATTCTATTATATTAAGAATCGATACATATTGAATTTTCCACTAAACTGCACCAAATCGCACCAATTCAAACGGTTCGATTCGGTTTGGTTCGATTTAATCAGTTTATGGTCTTTCAAATTTGAGTTACTTCTTAAATTTATAATATAGTAAATAATTTATATAGAAATATTGAAGTAAAATTATAAACAAAATATAATTTAAAAACCAAAGTCTCGATACCAAAGCAAAACCAAAACTTAAAACCATTATCCCATAAGGTTAAATTACAAGTCTATCAAGGAGAGTTAAAACAAAAAGATTAAAAATGACATAAACATTTGCTAGCCATATAAGCATAGTAGCAGCAAAACTTAACTCAAAACACGTATGACTAACAAACTAACAACTTATTACATTACCAATATCTATTGTCAAACCTAGAATATTTATAAAAAAAAATAAACAATTAAGTAAATTAACTGAACTTTGTACTCAACCAATTTCATTATATATTTAATATATATCATGTTTAATATAAGAAACTTTCAGTCGGTTTTGATTTAATTCAATACACAATATACCTAAACCGTTGTGCCCAACCAAAAATCAAAAAAAAAATAATTTTAAAAACTGTATAAATCGATTCATATTAAAAAATAACCAAATATAACACGTTCGATTTAGTTCCACTGATTTAATCTTTTTTTCAATTTTTTTGACAACCCTAATCGTCACAATTCCCCGTCAAAACGAGTCTCTTGTCACAACATCTTTACATTTTTTTCCCTTCCACTACGGCAAAAAGTGATGGTAGAATTTAGAGAGAGAAGAGTAGCGTTGTTATTGTGATTAAATTATATTTTAGTGACTTGGAACAAACAAGCCTAGAAGAAGGCCCATACTAGCAGAATAACCAGTGAACTTGGTCTACACGGCAACGACGTTGAAAGCCTGTGAATCATGTTTCTGCCCTTTCAAAGCCCAAAGTTCCCTGATTCAACACTCAAATTTGGCATCACCCTCCCAGTCTGCCCTCTCTCGCATGGGTAGGAAACTCCCTCGTTTCTTTCTCATCTAAAACCAAACTAAATCAAAACAGCTAAGCCTTGTGTCTCGATGAATTCACATTTGAACAATGATGAATCTGGGGGGGAGAGAAATTTAGAAAATATCATATATTAGATTAGAAATTTTAAAATAATTTAAAATTATAAGAGTTCGCATCCCTAAATTTTTTTAAAATAATTTCAAAATTATATAGAATAACCCCTAATTTTTCAAACTATAGAGTAACCAAACTATATCAAACCAGCTAACCCTTGTGTCTCGATCAATTCACATTTGACTATATGAATTCCTTTTCAGCATTCTTTGCCAGACTATTCTCAGTTAAATTAAATAAATTAGTTATCATTTTTTATTAAAAACCCAAAAAAAAAAAATTAGCTTTATAAAGCGTGCATATTTCTTTCAAATCTCGAGAGAGATTTGTGTAATTTACCCAAATTAAAATATCACATCCCGTGTTGACAGAAATTCTCATCGTAACATTACATTTGCAATGATCATATCACTCTAATATCTATACGCCTCTAAAAATTTATTCAGTGATCCCTAAACACCATGTGGCACTAACGTAGCACATGCACGTGGTACTCCTAACCAAAGTTTTTAAAGACAAATGTATAACATGAAACATTTTACCACTCATGAAGCAAGACATAAGCCTTGACACGTTAAGGCATAAAGTTTTCAAATTCTGAATTCTTATATTTAATAAATAATTTAAATATTTTAAAATAATAAATAAATACGTCAAAATAAAATATGAAAGTGTAAATATTTATTTTGCCAAGGCTCATTGCAAAGAGAAGTTTTGTTTCATTGAAAATGATATTAATATTCTAACTTTAGTAATTGAGCTTCTCACTGAACACTAACTACGTATTATTTTTATTGGTCATTTACTTAAATTTTCTTATCGAATATAGTTGCAAAAAGGCTTCTTTGTTTTTCGTTTTTTTTTTTTTCTCTACTTTTTTATGTTTAAACTATCTACTAAACTAAATTTAATAAGACTCCAAGACAAACTCTTCATATACGTACTCTTGATATACTAATGTATAAAAAGCATACAACGTGCATGTCTTAGACTGTGTGCGCAAGCCTTTGGAGAGTAAAGCCTAGAAATCAAAGCCAAGGCGTTTTGCCTTAGCCTCACCTCAGTAGTCTTTTAAAACTTAGCTCCTGGCCAACGAGGTCACCCAAAGGATTGACTTTCTCTTACCCAATTGATCAAGGTGAATCAGGCCAACCCCATCCATCCTGTGACTAGGAATGGCAACAGGTCGGGGCGGGGCCGGGGATGACACTTCTCGTCCTCGATCCGCGAAGGTAGAAAAATCCCCGTCCCCGTCCCCGCCCCCGGACGGGGAACCCCTCCCCATCGCCCCCCCCACATATATATATATATAGAGAGAGATAGATAGAGATAAAGAGAGAGAGAGAGAGAGAGAGAGAGAGAGAGAGGGCAACCGAGGATTCATGGTTCATGATCTGTTTCACTATCTTTTTTTTCTTCAACAACAAATATATATATATATAGAGAGAGAGAGAGAGAGAGAAAGAGGGCAACCGAGGATTCGTGGTTCATGATCTGTTTCACTATCTTTTTTTTCTTCAACAACAAATATATATATATATATAGAGAGAGAGAGAGAGAGAGAGGGCAACCGAGGATTCATGGTTCATGATCTGTTTCACTATCTTTTTTTTCTTCAACAACAAATATATATATATATATAATGTTCCAGCCAGTCACAGAGATACATACTGATCTGTATATGTAACATATAGAATCAACATAAAAAAAAATAGATCGGTATATGTAACATACAGATCTGTGTATCTGTGTCACAGAGAGAGAGAGAGAGGAGGCCGATCGCGACGCCGACAGTGGCAATGAGCGACGGAAGAGGCCGATCGGCAGAGGAGGCAGATCTGTGGCTGTGAACGACGGAGGAGGCCGATCGTGACGCCGACAGTGGCGATGAACGACGGAGGAGGCCAATCTGTGGCTGTGAACGACGGAGGAGGCCGATCTCGAAGCCGACAGTGGCGATGATCGACGTCGTGAACAAGGCCAAAGAGAGAGTAGAGGGGGTAAAGAGAGAGACGGAAGACAACTGGATGAGGATTTGGTTTGGTTACTATGTGTCTATATATATATATATCTAGGGGTAAATTAGTAATTTTAATTCGGGGAAAAACCGGGCAAGGAACGGGGACGGGGCCGGGGCCGGGCCGAGTACAGGGTTGGGATACTTATTCCCGTCCCCGGCCCGAATCTGTTCGGGGATTGATTTTTAAATACCATCCCCGTCCCGTCGGGGGTATTTTTCGGGGAAAACCCGCACAATTCGGGATCAGGGGGTCGGATCCTCATCGGGCCGGTTTCAAATTGCCATCTCTACCTGTGACTATATCAAGCCAGCATTATCCATCCTGTAACTATATCAACTGTTAAGTTTGCGCTCAACAGCTACAAAAACTGGGGAAGGGGGTTGGAATAAGCCACCAATGACAACATCCCGTACAATACATGCACATACAAACATGTGTACCTAACATATACTTATTATGATCTCTATTTGATGATTTCGATTGGTGAAACTGAAAACCACTCTCATTTCAGTCAACAAATGCAAGAAAGTGCATACATACATGGTTCTGATCACTGTGTGCGATAAAATTCACTGGGAAATCACGTTTTTAGCCCCATTGCAAGTCATTTTTATTGGATCTAGTGGGTCCAACACCAGGCCATTCTTCTCTTTGGTGAAGGTTGATCCCGGGTCGGCCTCAATTCCCCTTCATTACGCTGTCTGGACAAGGCATATTACAACCAGAAATGTAATTAGAGAAATGTTCCTTTCTTTAATATTATTATTTCAAAAAAAAAAAAAGCATTGCTTGTGCTCATGTCAGGCGTGCTTACAAAAAAATGAGACTGGCAAATTAGTGAGATTTAGAGAGACAATTGCAAAAATATGAAGGTGCAAGTGAGATCTATGCTTTAATGCATGAAATAACACAATTTTTATAGCACCAAAGCAAACTCTCTTGTACCTCCATGTTTTTGTTAATTAATTTCCATCCTTCCCGCCGATTTGCACTTTCTCCACCAAAAAAAAACTAATAATAATAATAATATAATTCCAAAAGCTAATGGCTGTTAATAAATGGGGAAATTACGAGAAAGTGGGAAGTGCGGAAGCTATTTACCAAGTAGGGGGTGCAATTTTCACTGTGGTTACTTTGCATATAAAAAGTTGCACCTCGATGTGTTTGTAATTATTTTTTGATCTTCTATGATGATTTGTAATTTCCCCTTAATAAAATGATTGATGGGAAAAAATGAATTATTAATACAATCTTTCTACTACTTTGGAAAATAAAAAACAAATAAGAGTCAACATTTAAATACAACAATCTTAAGATTCAACATCATACAAACAATACCTATAACAGCCAAATGTCCCAACTAGGTAAGTTAGGTATAGTCTCTCTTTTTTCCATTTCTTCTTTTCTTTTTAAATTTCCGAAAACAAGGTTAGAATGTATGAGTTGTTGAGACCCCAATGTCAAAAAAATTCGAAGATATACCTGCTTAAGTGTCAATAAAGCAACTGATATGTACAAGGGAAATAACCACTTGAGAAGAGTGACAAACTACCAAAGCCGTGGCCCTCAGTCTTCCTCATTATCATCTTGATTATTCCTTTGATTGTTTTTCTGGGAGCTATACATCTCAGCGACCTGAAAATGACAGGAAAAAAAGGAAAGAAAGAGCTCAGGCCAACAATAGAATCGACCATGAGAATGGTCAATAATCAAATCCACTGTTCAGAAGAATAAATTGCATCTAACCATCTCAGATGACGATGCCTGCTCTGGAGGCTTGTCTTCTCGGACACGAACCAGACGGGGAAATCGAAGAGAAATGCCCTTTTTGCCACACAAAATAAATAAATAAAAAAGAAGTAAATGAGCTCAAGGAAAAAAACCAAGGGGTTGGGACTTGGGGCATCAGTGACTTAGATGTGTGTGATAACAATTAAGCAATCCATGTCTGTACAAGGAAATGATAAGCACTTTCAAATACAAAATAAAATCTAATAAACCTTATCAGGATCCACAATGCCAATGGCAGCACGATGTACCGGACTGATGGTCAAGTCTGCAGCTTTCACCTCCCACACCTGAAAGATAATATAACCCACCATCTGTCAACCTAAAGGAGGGATAAACACTCTTGCAGCACAATATAGTATGAACCATATGTTAGAACCGATATATTCTAAAACTTACAGGAATAAATAACTAAAAATATAATTTTGAGCTATGAAAACAAAATAGGTATGTTGATTACCTGGACTCACCTAAAACAAAAGATAAACATTATAGATCTTTTGTAGGAAACAGATTTTTAAATGGTGCTAATTAAGTGGAAAATAACGATTCACTAGTCAAGAAAGAAACTCCCTCCAATCCATCGGCAAAGTGTTTCTATTAAAAAAATAAATTCCTCAAAAAATGTCAATTTATTAAGAGGAACCAAAAAAAAAGAGGACCATATGGAAGAGAAAAAGATGTGGTATAAGTAATACTAACTTGGGAGTCGGAACAAATGGAAACACTTTCAATTTTCATGTAGCATGAAAAATACTGAGTGCTATAACATGAGCTCAAGAAATCACATATTAACTTACAATGTAAATTGAAAATTACTATTTCAAGATGATTTTTCTAGTTGCATATTGCCCTGAGAAGGAAAACTTGGCTCTATGGATTGAAACTATCTAAAACACAGAAAGCAGATTACCATATAAACAAGTTACAAGAAAGAAATGGGAGACAATCATGGACTCTTGAGGAAGTAAAAAAACAACTCACCCACCCACCCCCACGGGTGCTCCAAATAAATAAATAAATAGGGATTTCAAGAAAGAAGAGCAAACAAAAAGGAAATAAGTATATTCAGACAGGGACAATAATACTATATTATGTTACCTCAGTGGGTTCAAACCAGACATCTGGTTTTAATGAATCTCCATATCGATAGTATGGCTGGAAATGACATGCATACCAGAATTAGCATACTAGAACAATGAAACCCACTAATATATAAATCTTCCTGGGGCTTTCCACCGGAATAAAAGAGAAAAGAAGCACAACCTTTGGTTTGGGAATCACTTTAGACACAATTTTTATAGCACCAAAGCAAACTCTCTTGTACCTCCATGTTTTTGTTAATTAATTTCCATCCTTCCCGCCGATTTGCACTTTCTCCACCAAAAAAAAACTAATAATAATAATAATATAATTCCAAAAGCTAATGGCTGTTAATAAATGGGGAAATTACGAGAAAGTGGGAAGTGCGGAAGCTATTTACCAAGTAGGGGGTGCAATTTTCACTGTGGTTACTTTTTTTGGGAGGGGCGTTGCGACATAGCCATATGATAGTTGCAACAGAAACCAAAAAGCCTACCAATTTTACAGATGCTTTGATATTCTTCATTGCTGCCATCATAGCAAGCAAGCAAAAAGGCACCGTAAACACCTGTGGAGATGCAATATAGCATCATCAACATAGTTCAGTACCCAATGAGATAATAGTGGTGACAACTGACTAGATAATAAAGATAAAATGAGTTTAACTTATACATTGAGGCAATTAATGCAAAAATACTGAATTTAGTCCAGTTAAAATTATATAAGTAGCAATGTAGCATCTATGGGATGAATTGCAGGTACACTTGATTCAACAAAAGAGTACATTCTGAAAGTGATTACCAGTACGTTTGCCCCTGCCATGAAAAGCACCAATAGGAACTAAATCTAGCGAGTCACCAATACTGCAGAGCACAGCAAGTAGTATTAGTAACGCATCAGATGATCAGAAACCATATGAAAAGGGAGTATATGGTACCACTTACCTCTCCATGTAGTCTTTCTTCAATTTTAGCCAGTTATTTGACCTTTTTGAGGGCTCATATGTGGCATCTTTACTCAGTGTTTTGATAATCAAACCCTCACAACTGCAAAACAATATGAATTAATGGAGAAGATGACCACAGTTTGACAAAGAAAATTAGAACGCCACTGATAACTTGTTTACATGAAAACATTTTCATTGCTAAGAGTGGAAGACTATTTGATCACATCATTTATTTAAAACCCACTCATGTGAAACTGAAAACAAATCCACCGAGTCACCACTGAACCAACAAATATCAATTCTTCTTTTTTTTTTCCATACCCCAGAAAATGGGGAAACAAAGAATCATGCAAGTAGTGGTAAAAGAAGTGAAAAGAGGTAGCACAGAATATGGAAGAAATGAAAGAGGCTATTCAACCTCCGAAGTCATTCTAATGTGAAAATACACTAGATACCCTATCTTCTTGGACCTCAAAAATTGCCTTGGATTGCGACTATGCTAGTAGAAACAAGGCCAAATGTATCTATGTTGTAGAGTATAAAAACACTTGGGCTGTGTTTGGATCAAGGATTTAAGAAAGGATTTGGAAAGGGGGAAAAAAAGTGACGGAAATGTGATCGAAATATAAGCTAAATTTTTTCTCCAATTCTCTCACCTTTTCATTTCCCTTTCCAAACCCAACTCTATGATCCAAACACAGCATTAGAAGTTGCAGCCTCTCTAATAGCTTATGGTTTGGAGGAGTTGGTTGTTAACAGGGTACCAAAGCAGGCAAGGTCCTTAGTTCCAATCTTCTTACAGATATTTTTTTTCGAATGCTCGGACTCAGGAAACTTTCCATTTAGTAAGACCATTCCATTGCTAATTGGGCCATTCCAGGCTAGGGCAACCTCACAAAGCATAAAATTTAAACAGAGGCATCGTACGCAAAAGAAGCAATTCAAATAGAAGTAACCCCTCATACACCGCCAGACAGAACCCTCACCTATGTGTTTCTGGCATCATTTGATAGGAAGCATGCAGAGGTTGTGTTAGGTTGCTTAAGATCTCAGTAAGAAGCATATCAAGTCTGATGCCCACTTATATGAGTCACTTCTACCCCACTTGCCCTGTTATTGGGGCAGTCTAAGGGAACAGATTCTTGGGCTTGCGAGTGAGTGTAGGGCTTTTTGGATACTATATTCTTTTCAGACAGTCCATTTCTTCTTAAAAAGCAAATGAGGAAGTAGGCCAATGGGAGATTTCTTTCTTGTGTTGTAACACAAAATAAAGTCAACAGTGGACAGAGTAAAGTCAACACAAAATAAATTTCATTTTCCATTAAATTAGAACCTCCCTGGGGGAGAGGTGCTAAAGAAGATGACAAGAAAGCAGTTAGTAATAATTCTCCATGACCTACATATTAACTTTATTGGGCCAGATAATACTGTTGGAGCAACAATAAGCAGAGTACTGAATTTGATTCTTCGTTAGCCTAAGAAAATCGTACATGATGCTGATAACCATCTAGGAAAAAAGGTACACAAACATACAACAAAAATTCACTATGACAACTTAACAGATGCAGGTACGATTCACATCATTCAGTACAGCAGGAGAAAAACTTTTTCCGTACAAGATGGCACATTGTCCACTCAAATCGAGTGAGAACAATCATATAATTACCAGTGACATATGTAGGCACTATTCAAAGCAAAAGTAACGATGTATTTTGCTTCACTGTACCGACACTACATATACATAGAATGTAGCAAATAATAAGTTATCTGTCATGATTAAGTTTCTGATTTCTGTACTTGTTTGACCAAAGCAAGCATAGTGACAGCTTAAAGCAGAATCTATATGCAGTATAAGAAATAAATTAGAAACTGATCAGGCTAACAAAGAGTACACAAATAGTGATCTATGAGTTAAATATAACTCATAGTACTTTGGAAAGATAAAAGAGTACCCAGCAAATATAAATTGAGTGAATTCCACTGATGCATTTGAGTTCCATGTGAGAGAATTCATTTCTACACAATCTGCTATGCTTGAGTGTGATTAACATGCAAATAAGCATACACACTACAAATAAGTGTAATTTGTGACTAATCAGGTGCATGAACAATTACTTGCCATCAAGAAAGCATGAGATAATTACCTAGAATCAACAGCAATTTCAAGGAACTTTTGTATTTCCTCAAGATCATTTGATATTATTGCTGTTGCAAACTGAAAATATCCAGGGTCTTCCTCAAATGACTTGTAAAGATGCTGCACAAGGCAAGAGTCCCAGATGCATGAGTACAGCATTTTATGCTGAATGAGATCAACAAGAAGTTAATATCAACAAAAAAATTCCAAACTTGCCACATTAATACATCTGAGAGCAGATATTTCCATAATAAATATGCTTCCATAAGGGGTTGTTTGGGATGTTCTAAATAAATGCACTTTTTAACTTTTTATGAAATATGGGTTGGGTTTGAAGTGGTGTGATAAAGAGATGATGTGACTTAAATAAGATAGTGACTTTTTAGCTTTTTAACTTTTTTAGGGGATGCCAAGCCTAACCTAAATATGCTACTGAGATATCCTACTCATGAGAACTTCAAGCAGGTGAAAGAGCTATTTATGACACTAGCAAGATAACAATGGCCTTCAGTCTCAATCACACATGGCAAAGACCTAAATGATTCTCCACCTCTGTGTATGCGCACACACACACGCACATTAGAGGTCCTTAAGCCTAACCTTATTTGCGAAATGGAAAAAAGTCAGCAGGATAATCTTCTTCTCCATTGCTTTAACTTTCTAATAAATACAAAATCATAGAGGTGTTCACAAGAGGTTAGCTGAGAATTTGCATCACCAAACACATGCTCCTATAACCAAGCCAACCTTGAATGTCTCGTGAACCAATCAGCTGGCAACAGAAGTTGAAAAAAAAAGGCCTTAAAACCAAGCTTGAAAACCTTGTCCTGGAGCCAAGCCAAGCCGTTAGCAGTCTGATACTTGGCCAGGATCAGTTCAATGCATCTGCTATCCCGTATGGGATAACTTGCTTTTACTATCTCTTTCGCACTTTTCAGCATGTTCAACCTAAAAATGGACTATAGCTTCAACATAAATTAAAATGGACCTTGTGAAAGACTGACAACCCTGAAAACAAAAATAGATTTGGAAGATAAATTGTAGATTCAAGTGATATCAATACCGTTAAAATTTTTGATCGCCAACAAAGTAATCAATAGGATGCATAAGTCACATAGCATAGAAAACGGAATAATAAAATGCACAAAAACAGACACTTCTAGAGCCATACAAACACCGATGACCATTGCAAACAAGTAGAAGAAAGAGAAGTAAAAAAAACTGCAAATTCTGTAAGCAACAAAAATCAGTCATACCTCTCTACGAACATTAAGTTGCTCCTGCATAAGTTGTTGGCCATTAAGATACAAGATGTCAAAAGCAAATATGCAAACTTCAACTTTGATGTCACTCATCGCCACATTTTTACGAGCACGAGTAGTGAGTGTCTGCCACAAAGATCAATTTATAAACATATTTTCCATAGAAGAGAATTTATATGTATGTATAGAAGTAATTTACAACACATGTTCAGGGATATATTGTTTATAAAGAAATGGACAACAAGAAGCAGCAACAGTAGTGGGAAAAGGCATTGATAGATAACAAGAAAATAAAACAAGGATGCAATTTGGGGGGGGAAGCAACTTTATGTACTATTCACTAGCATGTTGCATGTACAGTTCCAATAACAATATGATAATAACTGTCGCGATAGGGGAAAAAGAAATAACACTGTTCCTTCAAGGGAGAAGATAAGGAAGATTGCAAAAGGAAATGAGAATTAACAGTTTGAATACACCAAAAGAACTAAGAGTAGAATTCACATGAAATCGAGGTCAACCAACTGAAAGCCCTTTCGATAGAGAACCAAAATTTTTTAATAACCAGCTCCCATAGTGTATGAGTGACCAGGATTCTATCTTAAAGTAGGATGACAAAATTTCAGGATGCTTGGACTGACACTACCTCAATAAAACCACTTTTGGATTCCTATACACCACTTACGGTAGTAAGCTTGCACCTACACAAATGATACAAAATAACTTGACAGGAAAACACAGCACCTGGAAGGGCAAGATTTTACGTTTCTCCCGGTCATAAGCCACAAGTTCGCAATCCAGAACAAATGATGTTATGGATGGTTTCTTTAATCTGCAACACAACCATAGAAATTAGCTGAGTATCTTGACACTAAAAATTCATGTCAGGTTCAATATAGAAGCAAACCCTACTTTGATATGAATGCAAATTGTCACCTACGTAAATAGAGCTCTAATGCAACTAACCCACAACTTAAATACATTCAAACACAAGACTTATATTTGAGCCTAGAAATCAAACTGCATTTAGCATCTGGAAGAACCAAAATAATATATAACTCCAGAAGTTAGAATATCAGTATGTAATCATTCAATAGGGATCAATGAAAGACAAGAAAGCCGAATGAACCGATAACGAGAAGAAGAAAAAATGAGAAATGTGGTTCACCAGTCTGAAGCTGATGTTCACCAAACAAAATGAAGATTTAGACTTCCCCAGCTTTACAGTAACAGAATTTTATTTTTATTTTTTTTTATTGGCACTGGGGTGCCCAGATCAAAGCCCGACTAATCCCCAAAATTATTTATATATTGAAAAATAATCTTCAAGAATGTCGCCTAAAATATAATATTAAAACATTATTGAAAACACCATACAGTAATAAGAATTTCTCATACTTGACACATAAGCAGGAACAGAGTAGGCATTACAAACATGCCTACCTTTATCTATTGCAGCCCTATTGGCACAAAGTTGTAGAACCTAGGCTACTGTACTAAAATGTCAGCAACTGCCACCTTAACCAAAAAACAAAATACCTATTCACCCCATCAGTCATTGGACAACTAAAAATTCTTACCATATTCTCCTTTTTTTTCCCTTCTTATATAGGGTAAATAATTCTTGGCATCCTTTATAAGAGCAAAAACCCAATCAAAATTCAGCTCCAAGATGTTTGACCTACTATAAACTAATGATGAAAAGTACTCCAAGAGTTAAATTCAACAAAGGACTTCACAAGCACTTGATACGAGTGATAACCGCAACATACACATGCTATCCAGATGTGTTTGAACAAAAAAATATTTAATTCTTACCGCATTCGCCCCTTTTTTTCTTCTTATGTAAGGTAAATAATTCTTGGCATCCTTTATAAGAGCAAAAGCCCAATCAAAATTCAGCTCCAATATGTTTGACCTACTATAAACTAATTATGAAAAGTACTCCAAGAGTTAATTCAACAAAGGACTTCACAAGCACCTGATACGAGTGGTAATTGCCACATACACACGCTATCCAGATATGTTTGAACAAAAAAACATTTACAAACATCTAAACTATATTGTAAAATATGAAATTTCCAGTGAAGTTTCATACACCACCTTACAATCTAAAGAAGAAAACATTGATCATAAAAGCAGGACTACCTTGAAACTGCAACAACAACATCAGGAAACTTTCCAGTATTCCGCTCAGCATTTCGACTATATATCTCAACTGAACCATTCTCGAGGAAATGTATCTGTGTTGAATTAGAGTAGCACCATATAACATATACCACATGCAGCAAAAATAACCAAAAAAAAAACTTTTAACTAGATACTTACCTGAGCACGTTCACCATCATACTTGTATTCACAGGTGAACTCCATATCCTGAAATTTATCCAAGATCTCGGAAACTCCTTTGGTTGGTTTTGATAACATAGGCCCAATTGGGACACCGGGTGTGAAACTACATGTCTTTGAAAGGTTCCACAAGCTGCCAGTTATTAGAGCAGGGACTATTTTGTCATACACGGGAATTACAGAATAAACTTGCTTCACAATTTTTGCAGCCTGACAGATGTAATCAAAGGAAATATTGAAAGAGGATAATCAAAATGAAATGCATTACATGAAAGTGCAATCAATAGCATCTCTTTGGTACCCAAAAATGACATAATGTCAGCAGCACACATGATGGCTAGGAGATTTGTTGGTGTTCAAAAGAATCATTAACAACACAAAATTAAAAATTCTATTTCCAAAAAGATTCTAAACAAAATTATATTAACCATGCTACACTTTAACCATCAGGTTGCAGGTCGAAGATTCAGATTGTATGACAAGAATTCAGAAGTGCAGGGGAAAAAAAATCTGTATCTTCTAAAAGAAAGACTATTATCAGAGTGGAAGCCTGGAAGGGTGATTTTCATCATTCAAATTTGACACCAAAAAGCATGTAAATAACCTGCATATTAGACAAATCCAAGTTAAATACAAGGTTTGAAGCCAAGCCAGTCTTCTTGTTTCAGTCAGAAAGTGGAACCTCTAGGCTTCAAAAAATAAAACGAGCAACATAAAGCAGCCAAAATTAGCATAGCATAACAGCATATTTTACAACAATTGCTCAAGCTCACAGCAAGCATGAGATGATATAGGCTAAGGTACAAGCCCATGAGTTATCATAAATAATGATTCATAAGAGAGTATTACGGAATCTACAAAAAAGAAAAAGAGGCATTTTATTCACCGTAAAACATAACATTAACTCACCTCTTCAAAAGGAGAATCAATATGTGCAGGTGGTGACGAATCTTTTTCAGCATACACAGCAGCTTGCCCCAGTGCAGCTAAGAGGGTTTGCTCTGCCAAACCAATCCGCAATTTTGACTGCATGAAGTATTCATAGCAAGTTTACGATAGGAGAAGAACAAAATACAAAACCTGATAGTAATTCATAACTACAACCTGAAGTAAACGAATCAGATATTGTGGTTCACAATCAGTGGCTGCAACAAGAAGTCCCTTGATGTGGTTTTTCTTCTTCTCTTGGCTATCCTTGCCAGATTCCTACAAAGATTCAACATAAATAAATCAAATAAATCACAAATATAGACACTAGCTATAGTTGACATACTTCGAATATTTATCAAAGGCCTTGTTTCTCCTCTCAACTTTAATATAGGCCAAAGCCAAACCAAAAACAATGGCACTAGAAGTCAGAATAAATAGAAATTTGACCTAATTTTCCCAAGTAAATAAATATTGAATAGTATTGTACACTGACCAAATAGTAACAAGATCAAAAATCATAAGTTGCACAGAAACCATACTATTAAAAATAATAAATCAATGGGAACTGTATGCTGTTTCTCAGACATGAATCTAAGTATTGAAGCCAACATACATATATTATATCTAATAGTTGCACTGCAAATCAACAGTTAAGAACATTTTTTATGGAGAACTGTGGAGGAGAAAGTACTTCCATCCAAAGTAAAATATGTGTGAGCAGATTTGATAGTGGCGTAGTGGCGAAATCATGACAGCAGTGGTATCGGAGAAAGAAGTAGAATGGAAGTGCTCTATATGCCAGTATTGCCAGAACCAGTGAAGATCAAGATTTAGTGTTGATGATAGTAGTGGCATATGCGGTAGCATTAGCAATGATGCTAGTGATGGCAAACATGACAGAGTCACTGCTATACTGGTGATAAACTGGGTTAAGGAATCGCTAATGTCCTGATGTCTTAATATTCGAAGTGGTAGTCTCACAGTGATGGTAGTGACTGCACAATGGCACAATAATGGCACAAGGAACAAACCCATTTGGTAGCAAGATGAAAAAATGTATTCTTTTACACTTCCTTTGATGTGATAATAATAAGCCTGCAACCTCACCCTAATCTCACTCCATTTGTCAGACAGCAAAATTCAGCAACATGCAAATCTCTAAAAGGTCTCCTTTATGAAAGACCTTAGTGGACTATTAAAAGCCATGAGCTTCCTAGAAAAGAACTAATGGTGCCTGAAAACAGTGAGGAACTCTATCAATTCTGATGGTCATCAAAAGACTCCTGAACTTCAAGAACATATAACTGCAAGTGTGTGTGTGTGTGTGTGCGCGTTTTTTTTTTTTTTTTTTTTTTTTTTTTTTTTTTTTTTTTTTTTTTTTTTTTTTTTTTTTTGTGGTAAGTAAAGGATTTATCAAGCAAAAGGTGCCACAAAATGGGGGGCAAGTAACCTTGTACACAAGATGTATATAGAATTGGAAAAATTAAGTTTCACCACTTATCTACAAAGATATACAACTTCCCCAATTGGCTTTAAAAATTTTAAAACGAAAACAAAAACAAAAACAAAAAACAAAGCAGTAATGTCATGCATATGGTATCAAAGGTTAAATTTGCACTTGTCCATCACATTCAAGCACCACATTTTGGCAGAATAAATGCCAGTTAGTGACCATTTTATCTAAATTACATCAATAAGCAATGCAAAGCACGCTAAAGAAAAATGATGTTTAAATTACAAATATGAATGCAGCAACAGGAAGAAAAGGGCATTAGAGCAACGATGTCTATCAGATAGCAATATGTAAATCAAGTTCAAGAATTTAGGTTTCCAACTTCAATTCGAGTTTGAAATCTTGTCCACGCAAATATGGTATTTAACTTAATGTACACAGAGCATAACGAAAGCAAAATTAAATCAAAGATTTTGCTTTTCAAGACAAAAATTAAAGATTAAAAAATTAAAATAAAAATAAAAAATTGAAGAGAGAGCACCTTGGCAATAAGCCGAAATGTACCAAAAACCTTGGCAACTGTTAATGGTTCCGGTCTACGCATCAAAGATTGGGATGAACGACTTGCTTTTGCAACAAGGCCCAAGTCTCCTAATGCCTTATATTGACAGAAAGTTAGATATACATACATATAAATATAAGAGACCATTAGAAAATTTAGTCCGAAAGAGAAGAAACAATATTGTTGTTCCATGGATTATATATTTTTGGTCCAAAACTCCACCCTGAAGTATGAAATTTTCATTTCCATGCATGCATTTTGGCTCCATTCATTTTTACCATGGACAGTAGAGCACAATTGTGAGAGAAAAATAGAAAGAAAAAATAAATAAACTCACCTTTTAGTCAATTATGGCACTTGACAAACTTCAATACACTAGAGAATTTAAGCAGGTGATGTTTCCATAAGTACAAAATAACTAATCTTAATAAGATTAATATTGCAGCTACAACTTTTGTACAATTGCCTAAGACTAACCATTTTAGTCAAAAGACAAATTTATTTTTTACAACTTTTTATTATATATTGTGAATGAATGGTTTATTGAAATTGCAATAAAATTTAGCTTCTGTTAGCTTATATAAGCCTTGATCAACTGACAACATGAAAGAATCAATGATAAAAACCTGATATTTGCTCTTAATCTGCGATTCTTTTGCCCCACAAGCTTCGGCAAGTGCCTTAATAATCGAAGCATCTCCAATTCCAAGCTCCACCCCTTCATGTGCCGGTGCAATCTTGTTCGCCAAAAGATAAACAACCGGAAGCAAGTCATCGGGAGTAGTCGAAATGACAGTCCTCAACATATTACACACGATTTCCGTAATCGCAATCCGACCCGACTCCTTATCTATCGCATCAAACACCTTAACAAGAAACATAAACGGCACTCTCTCGCCATCGTTCCAAAAAGCAGCCGATTTGGGGTCAAAATTCGCAGGCTTCTTCTTCAGCAGAGCAATACTGTCATCAGCATTGATCAAACGCGGTTTCTTCACCGCCAATGTATCCACCGAGGGCTTTGGATCAGTGTCTGGATGATCTTTCTCGGACCCATTTGAGACTTGGGGTTCTTCAAACGGCTTCGAATTGGAATTGGACTTGGAATTGGAAGGTGGGGCTTCTTCGTCGATTGGGGCTTGGGGATGAGTAGGGTTTTGAAGGGGAGTTTTTGGTTCTGGGTTTTTGCGTTTCTTGGGGGAAGAAGAAGTTGGGGGTTTCTTCTTGGAAGCAGCGGCTCGGGCACCGGACATGAGAGCATCGAAAGCGGAGGGGCGAGAGGACATGGTTCTGGGATTAGGGTTAGGGTTAGGAGAGTAGAGGGGTTGGAGGGAGATGGGTTTGGGAGGGAAGAGAGAGAGGAAGAGAGGAGGGAGAATGAGACTAGTTCGGAGAGTGAGACGATGAGAGAGAATGGTGTGAGTTACACAGCAAGACCGCAAAGAGAACATCAATTGACCAAGGCCTCTGTTCGACTGGGCGCGCGAGTCATTGAAGCCATTTTTATGTAGTGGGTGCGGTGGAGAAATACAAATGGCGGGAGCTCCTGGGTTTAGGTACGGTAGGGTTAGGCCTTGTTTGGAAATTCTCTTTTTAGTTAAAAAGTTATTAAATTAGTCAAAAAGTCAATAATTTATATAAAAAAATCAAAAATTTTCTTTTTTCTCTATTTTTTACACATCTTTTCGTAAAAAGTCAAAAAATTATCCCAAATATACTAATTTTTTTTAACTCATATTTTAACCAAATAGTCAAAAAGTTACTAAATTAACAAAAAGTCAAAGATTCTCTTTTCTCTCTATTTTTTACACATCTTTTCGTAAAAAGTCAAAAAATTATCCCAAATATACTAATTTTTTTTAACTCATATTTTAACCAAATAGTCAAAAAGTTACTAAATTAACATGTTCCCAAACGAGGCCTTACTCTGTTTTTCAATTATAATTCTGAATTTTTTTTATTATTTTTACTTTAATTTAAAGATAAATTACAAATACACCCCTGAATTTTATTTAAAATATGAATTATCACTTATTGAAAAATTACAAATATATTCCTGTTAAGAATTTTTATTTAACAGAATTAATTAAAAAAATAAAATTTTTAACTGTTCACCAATACAGTAATAGAATTTTTTGAATTATTAATTGAAATAAAATTTTAACATTATTAAAAATTGTTAATTAATTTAATGATTTATTAATAAAATGACTTATTTGTTATGAAATTATAAACCTTATGAGGCATAATATAATTTCTAAAACTACATAGAATAATTTATAATTTAAGTAAACCTCAAAGGATGTGTTTATAATTTACTCTTAATTTAATTATAAAATATTTAAAGTATTTTTTGTTTATTATTATTTTTTTCGATAATTTAAAAGTATATTGCCCTCGATGTCTCTTTTGACAATAAGTTAAAAGTTAGTTTATTAATTTTTTAACTTTTTTATTTCACATTACTTCTTTTTCTTTTTTTTACTTGTTTTTTAAAAAAAAAAAGTCAAAAAAAATTTAAAAAATCAATTTTTTAACTTATTCCTCAAAATAAGCCAATAATTAAAAGAAAAATCACATTTATAACATGATTATAGTACCTTCTTTTGAAATTTAAAAGTGACTTCCCAAAATAGTCTAATAATTGAAAAAAAAAATCCACTTTTATAACATACTTATAGTACCCTCTTTTAAAATTTTAATTCACATAATAGTTAATTTATTTTTTATCATTAATTGTTAATTGTAGAGATAAAAATAACAATATTTTTATTTGTTTTCAATAGTAATATATATTTGTATTTATATTTATTTAAGGTGCCTAATTACCTTGTACATTAATTTCATTTTAATGGCCTGGTTTGGCATATTTTAAATAATTTAAAAAGTCAAAAAATTACTTTAAAAGTTATCATTATTCACTAAAAAAAATTAATTTTACAAAAAAATTATTACAACTCAGTCTGATGTCCCACAAACTTTTGCTGAATTTTTTTGGAAAAAAAAATAATTTTACAAAAAAATTATTACAACTCAGTCTGATGTCTCACAGACTTTTGCTGAATTTTTTGAAAAAATTGCACAGGCGGAGTGCACAAACAAAACGGTGTTGTTCGGCCCGTAGAGGCCCATCACGGGTCCCGTGATGTGTAGAACTTGTCGAGTACTATATGTCTATATAAAATCACATTGATCGGATATCGCTAACTACATGATCAAATCAGTTTTGTATAAAAAAAATTAGATGGTGTTATAGTTAACGACTGAAAAAAAAAAACTAATCTAGTCAGATAGCTATCGATATCCAATCAACGTGATTGTTTACAGGCATATAGTATTCAACGAGTTCTACACATTGAACGATTCAAATTATCATAACGGGACCCGTGATGGCCCCCACGGGCCGAACAACACTGTCCAATGTAATGCCCAAAAAGTAGACAACCATTTCTTATATCAAATCACTTTACGTAGACGGTACGGTCATACTGCCTAGTCTCCCTAACTTCTCTTCCACACTAATTTACACAAATTTTTAATACACATTTTTTCATAAAAAAATCAAAAAATTAACCTAAATATCCATCTTTTTTTCCTCAACTTTGTTCCCTTAAAAGAGATATTGTTCATCTAACGCGTTCTAAATTATTTACATTATACTCTCTTAAAATTCTAGTTCATATTACATTTTACTTTATTTTTTTCAAAAATTCATTAATTATATAAATAAAAAATAATACTATTCTCTATCTTATATTGAAATATATATTTTACTTTATATAACTTTATACTTTTATGGGAGATTTATCAAAAAATCATTTTTTAAGTATTTCTATCCTAATTAGTCCATAAGATATTATTGTATTTCAATAAATCTTATTATTTGAACATTTGATCTACTAAATCATAATTCTTATATATTAACGTATTTTATGGGCATTTCTACCCTTACAAATATTTTTTAAACAGTTAGCAATTTGGTGATGTGAACATTCATATTTTACAATGTGAATATTCACACTAATGGTATGAACATTCACATTGACAATGTGAACATTCATATCATGAAACATTCACACTGTAAATGTGAATATTATTATGGGTATTTTGGTAACTATGTCACTCATAGAACTTATTGGAATATAAGAAAAAAATGTGGACTAAATGGAACGTAAATAGGTGAAAAGGGATTTATGAAAAAGTGTCCTTATTTTCATACTATCTGCATCAGTTCTTGTACGGGGAGGAAATAATTCTCCTCGTATAATCCTGTTGACCAAGTCCACGCTTCTCCGTACGACGTCGCTTTGTCACCCTCTCAGTTCTAATTTCTTTAATTTTATGAGAAGTTAGGCCTTGTTTGCAACTACATATTTTAGTCAAAAAATTACTATAAGCTATCACGTCACTCTCTCTACTTTTCTATACATTTTTTCGTAAAAAATCAAAAAGTTATTAAAATAGTGTGTTCCCAAACAAGATTTTAGTATAATTATAAGACTTAAGTCTCGTTTGGGAACATACTATTTTAGTAATTTTTTGATTTTTTACAAAAAGATATGTAAAAAATAGAGAGAGTAGTGTGATAACTTATAATGACTTCTTAACTAAAATATATAAAAAGTCTCCAAATGTTTATTTTTAAATTCTCATAATTTTGGAATAAATAAATATGTGGCACCTCCCTTCACATCTCTTCTCACTATTCAGATCATTTCATTCTCTTCCCCAATTGTTATATAAAAGATAATAATAAAAAAAAAATCGAATAATATCTTTCCTTAGAGTTTTAGGTATAGATATGTATATAGAAACCATATGTCTATCGCTATATCACGTAAATGTAAATTAAAAAAAGAATCCACAAATCTCACAACTTTTATTCCTAACTGTTATATATAAAAAATAAAAAATAAATTAAAAAGGGCAAACTTCACTTTACCTCCTATGGTTTTAGCCATCTGCGGATTACCCCCGTAATGTTCGAATATCACCACATAATCCTCCTGTGGTTGATGGACTAAAACGCACACTAACTTCTGTCAACAGAAGTTGTAAATTGACAATTATACCCTCATCTTCATTTTGTTCTTTTCTCTCTCTCTCCATTTTAGGGGAAACCCAATTCTCTCTCTCTCTCTCTCTCTCCATCTTCATCTTCTTCTTTTCCCTCTCTCTCTATTTCAAACTTTATATATGTACATACATACACATATATATATATACATATAATATCTCATCTTCATCTTTTTCTCTCTATCCCTCTCTCTCTCTCTATTTCAAACTTTGTTCCTTATTCTGTTCCGATTCAAACTTGAGTTTCTTCTTCAACACCTTTACTTTCGCTCTAGCAGCTTCAAGCTTCGCAACGACTTTTGCATAATTAGCAACTTGTGACTATAATCTTCTATTATTTTATTTTATTTTTGGTCAATGATAATCATCTCTGAATCAACAAAAAAAAAAACATGAAAGAAATCAAAAGGCTAATCAAAATAATGTTAATTTGAAAGAAATCATGAAAAAAAAACCCCAAATTAAAAGCCTAATTTTTTACCCAAAAATAGATTTGAATAAATCAAGAATAAATGGCTCTGATGTGGCTGGGGTAATAGATGAAGTTCTCCACTTTGTTGGAGATCGACAAGCCATACGGGAGGAATTTCAGTTCTCTTCAACCCAAAAAAAAATTTAAATGGGTTTGGATTTGTATATGTATACAAATATATATATATATATATATATAAATAAATATACATATATATGTATGGAAGGAATTTTAGTTCTCTTTAATCAAAAATAAATAAAAATTAAAATGGGTTTAGATTTGTATATGTATACAAATATATATATATATATATATGTATGTATATGTATGGGAGGAATATCAGTTCTCTTCAATCAAAAAAAAATTTAAAATTAAAATGGGTTTGGATTTGTATTTGTATACAAATATATATATGTATGTATGAGAGGAATTTCAGTTCTCTTCAATCAAAAAAACAATTAAAATGGGTTTGGATTTGTATATAAATATATTGTTGGGAAATTTTCAAAATAGGTTTTCAAAATTTATTGTTTAGTTTTTGGGTGTTTTAAAAACCTTCCATGTTTTTCTTTGGAAAGCATTAATTAAGCTTGGGGACTTTGTTCCACATCGAAAAGAGAGAAAAATATGGAGCACTTAATAAAGTGCTACATAGAAAATTTCTTTGAATATGGAATTGTAAGGTGAAAGCTAGTGTGCATGCACTCACACACCAAAGATGGTGCTTCGCACCATCCGCACACGCACACGCGCGTGCGCGTGGCGTGGGTAGTGGGCTGTGTGGCGTTTTGATGGCGCACTTTGCACTTAGCACAAACGCATCGGTGCCTTGAGAGCGCTTTCCTATTTGCATCGGACATGTTAGAGTGATGACGTGGATCCAATGTGGCATAGGTGACGTGGAATACAATCAACTCCACGTGGCAATGACGTGACGTCCGTTGGCGATAAGTCAACCAACCGATCGAACGGTTGCGTGTCTAATTTGGAGCGGTTTGATCATAGTCGTTGATTAGAGATGCGCACGATCATACGATTGAGATGGCACCCGATCATGATCAGGTGTGATCGGTCAAGGCAGCTATTCAGTGTAAGAATGATCTGCACTATAGATCGTCGATCCAACGGTCAGATCTAATCGGATGTGATCAAAGGACATGACCATTCGATTAGATCCATCAAGGCCTATAAATAGGCTGCGAAATCAATCATTTCATTCCATCAAAAAATTCAGAATTCATTCTTGCAATTCTCTCTCTCTCTCTCCCTCTTGATTTAGAGTTTTTGATCAAGAGTTTCTTGAGCAAATTTCTGTTTTTCTTATTGGTAATGAAGTTCTGCAAATTTGATTATCAGTGTCTTGATTTTCTTGATTATATCGAGAGTATTTTGATCTACTGTTGTCAGTGCAAACGCTGATAGATTTGATCTTTAGATTAGGTTTCATTGTATCTTGGAGGCAAATTTACTGTAACCCCTTACACACATTTTGGTGGGTGCAAATATTGTCTTTAGGAAAGCGACTCAGTAATGCGACTTGAAGCACTAAATTTCTGTTCTACATAGACACAATTATCGACAAATTTTGAAGACTCAAAGACCACCAACTGAAGAATTCAAGACGAATTGTTCCAACATATATGTATATGTATGGGAGGAATTTTAGTTCTCTTCAATCAAAAAAAATAAAATAATTAAAATGGGTTTGGATTTGTATATATATATATATGTATATGCACATGATTAAGAAAAAAATATATGTATATATATATATGTACACATGATCAAAAAATGTGTTTGTTCAAAGATGTGTTTGTTCAATTGATCAGAGATGTGTTTGTTCATCCTATGAGAGAGGATGGATATGGGTGGTGGTTTGAGGGGAGGAGAGAGAGAGAGAGAGAGATGAAGAAAAAAAAGGTTGAAAACAGAATGACATCTTTTGTAAATTTGAAGAGGTAGAAAGGGTATTTTCGTCATAAAAACGGATTCACTCTCTATAGAGACGCGTGACTTTCACATTCTGTTATCTTAGATAGAAAAGCTAATTGTGCGTTTTTGTCCATCAACCACAGGGGGGTTATGCGGTGATTTCCGAATGTTAACGGGGTAAACCGCACCCTGCCCAAACCACAACGGAGTAAAGTGAAGTTTGCCAAAAACATTTTTTAAAAAATCAGATAATACCTTATGGGTGTCTATCTAAAATCTCAATCCAACATTTTTGAAGTTTTACATTTAAAAAAAATTACAAAATGCCATACTCAATTTCTATTGGATCATGTTTCATTTAAAAAAAAAAAGAAGAAGAAGAAGAAGAAGATGATGATGAAAAAAGTCAAAAAATAATAAATAAACAATCAGATAAGTGTTAGCATTTATTAGATAAATATTTGCTTTTAAAAAAATGAAATAATTGATTTGTATTTTTAAAAAACATGATGTTTTATGATATCTTAAGCTCTTTATCTCTATCCAAAATTAAATTTGAATTTAAAAAAAAAATATGGGTATGTTTGGTTTGGCTTTGTAGAGTGATTTTGGGAAAAAATTTATAGAAAACTTGTTTGGTTTGTAATTTTTCCAAAACAATTTTCAAAATCACTTTCTCTTTCTTACACATCAGTTAATCATTTTTTCTCTCATTTCTCATTCTCAATCTCTTTTTTTCTCACACACATCTACTCAATTATAACAAAATATCAAATTATTCCAAACTCCCAAACTACTTTTAAAATACACAATTAAACAAACCAAAATAAATTCTAAACTCTCTCCTCAAAATAATTTTTAAAAATTACTCTCTCAAAACCAAACCAAACATATTTAAAGTTTCCATATAAATTTGAACATCCACTAACAAAACCCAACATTGGAAACAAACCCCCCAACAACATCCCTCCTTTTGTTTTTTCCTCTCTCTCTCTACACAATGGTGGTCATAAAAATTTCTTTAAGGTATTAATATTTTTTATCTCTTACCTCCAATAGTTTATTTATTTTTCCTCTCTAGGGAGGATTGTAATATATATGGAGCTTTACAAACAATCCCTCGAGGTCAATCATTTTTTTAATTGAAATCTATTTAAATTCATAAAATTTCATGTAATTTTTTTCATCTTTATTCTATTGTATATTTTAATGATAGATCTTTTTAAGCAATATGTTCAAATTCATATAAATTTACATACCGTCTATATAGTTTTACATAAAATCTATTTAGGTGTAAAAACTTTTTCATGCAATTACTCTAGCTTTATAGATTTTTACATGTAATTTGTGATAGTACCTGAAAAGAAATTTTATTGAATAATTCATGCATATTACAATTATCAATCACTTCATTTTAACTCACTATAATTCATGCATGTTTTTCAAAAATATTATTTGTCCTATAATATTTGGTATAACTATTACTATACATTTTTAGTCTCTTCTATTGATCTAATTATTAGTTACATATGATATCTTAAAACTTTTTTGGTTGGTAGCTCGAAATTTAGTGGCCCTAATGGCCCTAAATTTCCATATAAGGCAAAAAAAAAAAAACAAGGCAGAAAAAAAAAAGAAAAAAAAAACAGACTTATCCCAAAAAGGAAATTAGGGCCATTAGGGCCACTGTTTTTAGGGCCACAATTCATTTTCCATCTTAAAAATTCATTTCAATGGTTGATTGCAATTATTAAATTGATATATATATATTTTCTATTCTTTAATTTTTTTTTCTTGTATTGTTTTTATTCTCACTTTTGTCTACTCTGTTGTTTATGTGAGAACTTTATTAATAAATTTTGTGGTATAAAAATTATCAATATTTAGTTTGAATATTTATTCATTTATATATATATATATATTTGGATCGGCAAAAGTCAGTTATTAGATATTATTCATATTATTTAGCTTAAGTATGAGATATTATGGCTCTTTTTATTAAATGATTAGTTTTATATTAAGACATTTCTTCTTAATCTTATTTCTTTTTGGAAAAATTTCTTCTTAATCTTATTTCCTTTTGGAAAAAAAACTTAAGACTGCTTGTGGGAAAAAAACTGATGAACTAATAGTATCAATTTGGTTTCTATTGAATCATCCTTTAATCATGTTTGCTAAATTTAAAAATTAAGAACAACTATCTTATTGATATAAATAACACAATTTAATGGGATTAGACATTACTACAATTCAATATCTATTAGCTAAATTTTAAAAATTAAAATTAAAAACATCTATTACATGGGGCATAATCCAATTGAGTTAAACATTTTGACTGTAACTTAATCATAACTATTTATTAAACTTAAAAAAAATTAAAATTGAACATTAAAAATGCTTATCTTATTCTACTACAAAATAAAAAATAAAAAATAAAAACACCTAATTTTTTTTAGATGGTGAAAACACTTAAGTATTAGATAAATTAATTGGCATATGTGGTCATGATCAATTGGATCAAATATTTGTCTATATTTCAATCATAACTATTTGATTATAAAAAATGTAATAAATCTAATATAAAAAAAATTCATAATCATTAGACTATTTACCTTGTCGCCCAATCACTATAAAAAAATTCGTTTTTTGCGACGGTAAAAAGCCGTCGCAAATGCCCCGGAAGCCGTCGCTAATACTTTTTGCGACGGTAATGTGGCTTTTTGCGACGGTAATGGGGGGTCGCGACAAAGGGGGTTGCAAAAGAGCTTTAGCGACGATAAGTACCGTCGCCATTAGTTTCTGCGACGGTAAGGTGTGTTTTTTGCGACGGCACTTTTCCTGTCGCCAATAATGGAAAAAAAATCAGTTTTCGCGACGGCACGTAATTCCCGTCGCTAAAAGTGAGTTTTTGAGACGGCAACATTACCGTCGCTAAAACTCTGGCATCTTATAAGTATTGGCGACGGCAACGGTTACCGTCGCTAAAGGTGTCTTGTAAATTCCAATTGCACAGCTTTTGCGACTGTGTTGGTGCCGTCGCAAAAGCCTATTATTGTTTTTTGCGACGGGTTCTTCTCCCGTCTAAAAAAAAAAAAAAACCTGCTGAAAAATTATTAAAAAAATTAAAATAACCTGTATTAGATAAAAAATAACTATAAAAAAATTGAAAAATTACAGAATAATATAAATACGTACATAAACAAAAATTGACAAATAATGAAAATTAATAATATTGTTCCATTCATAGCAATACATAAATAAAAATTCATAACAATAAAAATTATGCCACTACATAACGTCGCATAATACATACATAATGTTGCTCACAAATTTAAATAACATAAATCAAAATCAAAACCAAAAGTTTTCGTCTTCATTCGTTCGTGGGTTACAAAAACAAAAATTGGTCATAATCTTGATACGCCCGCATTCCAGAAAAAGCCAACTGCTACTCAGGAAATATCTGAAAAAAATAAGATAAAAATAATTAAAAACCATATAATGTGTTAATATTTTAATTATAGAAAAATATAAAAAAAAATTGACTACTATATAATTAGAAAGATAGTTTAGTAAATAATTTTGACTGGACCGAAATCCGGCTCTAACTCCCAAACCGGGAACCCGA